GCGTGCGTGCGTGGCGTGCGTGTGACGTGGTGTGTGGTGTGTGCGCGCCCCCGCGAGTCGTGTATTAGGCTTACTGTGCTTGATGTGTACATATGAGGAAACAAATTTTTTTTTTGGGGGGGGGTTGTCAAAAAGAGCTTGGAACAAAAAAAATTTCGCTGAAGCCTAATGTATTTCCCCACAGTCAGCAAACAAGTTGTTCTCTCCCAGGGTTTGTCTCCCTTAGACTGGATCAAGAGCGCAACAGACAGTCAGCAATGTTTAGCCGGGGAATCTCATTTCATCTGTTAAACGATACGAATTTGCAAGTCGAAGTCACCCATGCTGTGTATTCTTTGCCACTCGCCTTCCAGAATGTTTGTCCGAATTATAGTAACACCAATGGTTTATGGTCGCGTTCACATACATAGCATATTCTGTCTCATAGCAAAAATACATATGAAGACGCTCACCAATGCGCCCACAGCAATACCTAATGCTTCTTTCTCTGTCCTGAGAGTATCTCATTTTCGGTTATCTGTCAAAACTCGCATACTAATGTAGGCAGATAATCGATCTTCTCCGAGTGTTCTGGACAACACAATGTCAAGTCCTATCAGGATACATCAGTGATGAGCTTAGTAACAGCATCTTGTTGAAATAATCACAGTTTATCTGTACTGGCTAGTCTGTGCTTCAACTTGTTTAAATGAAGTCTTCGTGTCCTTTGCTTCCACACAAATGTTTTCCTTCATTGTCAATCGAACGTAATGGCTCCTGCAACCTGTAGCACAAATCGGGTAATAAATGCTCGAACTGGTAGTTTATAATCCTAGCAAAGCCTTTCCCACCTCTTGTAGCAGATTCTGGCCTGTTCTCGCCTCATTAACTGACTTGAACTTTTACCTTGTTTTCGGTGGCCTATATTCGCCCTTGCAGAGAGCAAATGCCCCATGATATACTATTGGTTTGATAAGCGAAATGTGCATTTGTCTCTATTGAACGTTAGCCCGTTTCCTGAATCATAAGTTAAACAAAGATTCTCCAGTCTCCTGTCCCATGCTCCTCCCCAGCACGATCTGTGCACATTTTATGTTCATCAAATATTGTTTATTCTAACCCCTTCACAACTCTGGGAGGTTTTGTTGTATCACTACGTTGGTACATCATCGATGCAACAGGCAAAATTCCGAACATGAGACGCCTTGTAATGATAGAAGTCCTTATTGCGTGACAATTTTGTGATTACGGATGTGAAACCGACACTTGAAATTTCAATCGGATGAAACGCCCCACTTTATTTCCAGTTTATTGAAACGGTACAGGATTTCCCTCTACAGTAGGAATCTCGATGTTTCTCCCTGATAATCGCAGCATTATAGCTCTCCTCATATCAACACACCAGTTGATATCCTTGTCCCCTTTAGGAACAACAACTACAGGAGACGACACCCATGGGGTAGGACCTTCAGCCTTCTCTATAACATCAAGATCCTCCAAATTGAAGTTTTGTCTCAACTTTATCTCTCAAGCTAAATGGAGATTCTGCGCATTGGCTGAGCTACTGCTGTACTGTACTGTCAAAAGGAATCTCCTGCTTGATAATCTTTCAACTTGCCTAGACCCTCAAAACTGCTTGATATTTATCAAACAGCTCGGTGTCATCTTGTACTGTGTTTACAAAGATGCATCAATGCCAAGTTTAAGCACACCCAGATCGACAGCAGTTTTCCTCCCAGTAATGCTTAACCTTTCTCTTTAACAACAACAACCTCTCATTGGACTCGCTGTTGTCTGATGTGAAGCATCCAAGCACTTGCATTGGTGTAGCACTCCCGTATGCAAACAATTGTTGTCCACTTTCCGTGATGTACATTTGACATGGTTTTGTTTTAGCTCACTCCATAATGTCTCGTCAACACATTACAGCTAGAACCAGAGTCAATAATCATCGGAATATTCGCTACTCCGCGCCACATCAACATGTACAGAAGTTTGTTTGCCATCGTCCCAATAGTGAAAAAGCATATTCGCTGTTACCGGTGTGCAACATGATCACGTGATTCCTCCAGCATACATACTTTCTCCTTAGGCTTAGGTGATTTCCATCTACCTTTGTTCTCAGCACGACGTTGTGTAGACTTCACGTCTTTGCTCTTGCAGCATTTACTTAAATGTCCAATCTTGTGACACTTGTAGCACTCCTTGTCTCTCGCAGGACAGTTGGGGGAATTCTGATGGTGTGTCGCCGATCCACAACGAAAACAATTTCTGTTTCCGGACGATCTGTCAGAGTCATACTGATGTTTGTCAACATCAGGGTGACGCTCAAATCGGGCACATCGATTTCTGCTTGACAAACGAAATGTTGCTCGTTCTCTACCATACGTACTGTCCTCAATGCTCGATGATTGCACCTCGCTTGTTTCTAAGCTCGTGCTGTCGTTTGCAATCTCACTAACGTCAAATCTTTGCCCTTTTCTAGAGTTTTCTCTGAAGCTGGTGAGATGAACACTTCTCAATCACTTGGTCGCGTATCTGCTCGTCAATATTTGCAAACTCACAATTTTCCGCTCTCTGACGAAGCCGCGTAACAAATTGATTCGACAATCTCTTATTGCTGTGTCATGTTCCGAAACAAATGTCGTTCATATGGAACGTTTACCTGCGGAAAAAGTAGTCATCGTTTCTTCAACACAACACTGTAGCAAGTTTGACCTTCTCCCGGTCGGTATTGTCAACGTATACAGGGGCGGCGCACGTTTTCGAAGTGGAGGGGCAAATTGAGAGAATGAAGCGACCATGCCGGGGGGCTGAGTTATTCGGGCGCGAAGCGCTCGCGAGCGAGGGAGCCAGGCGACCGAGCGGGGTGGGTGTGGGAGGGGATCCCCCTCCCACGGCAGGGAGCTTTTTCAATTTTGCACTGAAATGGAGCGATTGGTGAACATCGAAAGGTGAAAATTTCAAATTTTTAAATGGAAGACAAAACGGAAAATACACCTTTTCAGTACATGTCTATGTACATGTCAACTATAGTGAAGTATATATAATTTGCATCAATATGAAATACATGTAATAGGAATAAAGAATATGAATAGTGAATCTTTTTCAGGCCGTACAGAAATTTCCATTTTCTCAACCTGGTAATAGTCAAAAAATAACATTGCTGAAGATGATATTTAAACACTTATAACATCACTCGGACTAGCTTTTATCTTAGTTTATCTTCATGTTGCTGACAACAGTTTGCCTTTAAAAACCCAAGCTGCTAGGATATTACATAAAGAATACAGCAACTATTTATTATTAAAAAGAACTTAAGAACTAAAGTGCAAACTAAAACTAAAAGAATAAAAGGAACATTAAAAATATATACATAAAACTAACGCTCATAGGGTCTATGTCCCCCCGGTTTACTGCCGGAACGTACCCTGGGTGCGGTCCGGTATACCGGCTCTGCGTTGCACGCGCATACCTCAGTTGCGAGCACGCGAAGGGGGGTCTGGGGGGCCCTCCCCCTTAAAAATTTCAAATTAGACCCCCTCAGATGCGTTTTCTGCGCGAGCAAGGGAATCCGACTCCCTGGACCCCATATGTACACGCCCCTGCTCGGGCGCGAAGCGACCAGGCGAGAGAGCCAAGCGACCGAGCGAGGGAGGTATGGGAGGTGGTGTTCCACTGTTCACCCTCCCGCATGATGGAGATTTTGCAATTATTACACCTGTACGCGCCGCCCCTGGTATAATAGATATCTTGTACTTGCATTTCGGCACAATGCAATAAAAGGGCCTTCTTTTGCTCGACTTTCTCAACTCCCTTTCCTTCCACGTGAAGTTCGAAAGCGCGGCGCCATCTTTTCCACCGTGCACCAACACTGGTTAGATCACCAAGGGAATCAAAACTAGGAATTCCTCCCAAATCAGTTTGAATAACCTGATTGAGCCATCTCCTCCATGTCCACTAATGTTCAAAAATTTTCATCCTTGTCGCCAATTGTTGTATTCGTCTCAATAACATTGGAGTAAACCAATCGAATTAAATCATTGAATTTAATCACAAACAAAGCTGGTCAGCTATTTATTCAGCAAGCGCACCATTCGCGCATGCGTCACCGGATATGAGATACAAATAATATAGAGGGAGCTACTATCCAGACACTACAAATGAGACTTCTTGAAAGATACACAATCTTGAGTTATGTGTTGTATTATCACAGGTTGAGATGGGCATGAAGAATCATGAGTTTGTTCCAACAGAACTTGTGGCTGCTATAGCACATTTGAGGCATGGAGGCTGTCACAAAAAGCTGAAAGAGTTGACTAAACACAAGCTGGTGGCCTACGAACATGGAAGAGGTAATTATTACTGGAAATATACAGAGCCGTACATTGCTTTAAATTGACTACGTCACGAATTTTCTATGGTAAAATTTGTAAAATTTTTGTTGCCATATTTTTACATTAAAAGTAAGAACTAACGGGACTAAACGTATCGTCAAATTCTTACCTGATAAGATTGTTTCTCAACTAGTTAAAAATCCAAAAAACCTTGACGATTTGATATTATGTTCCTGACATTAAACTGCCTACGTCACGAATTTCGAGCACCAGCAAGTAGTATATTTGTGTGTTATTTGTACAAAATAAAATGTATGAAAATACAATTAGCGTTTCTGTTTACTTTTCATGCTTATACACCTTCTTTATACTCCCTAATTTGCCGGTGCATTCGATGTAACCAAACGCTCGACACAACAACAACCGCCATGAATTAGAAAATTCTTGCGTGGCGCCCAGACGCAGCTAGCCGATATAGCGAACATTTGCGGTAAACGAGGCATTGGCAAAATTATTGTGGCAGCCATGGAAATTCCTTGTAAACTTAAGCGGGATCGAGTTTCTCATATAATCTTCTTTCTGCTTTTTTCTTTTTCGTTTTCTTTCCAATGCACTGGTCTGCCCACCATTGTTTATCGTTTAGTTGATCTAGCCTCTGATCTATCCTGAAGGGGATGTCACAAACATTTTTGTTGGCAGAAATTTAAAAAAACACAAATAACATTTCGCAGTTTTAATAATAATTTTTCAAACATAATACACATGAACATATATTATTTATTTTTCCTATATTGTATATTCTATATAGCCAACACAAATAAAAACAAAAACTGTTTGGGCGACCACAGCAACCAGTACAGCAACAGAGAGACGCCAGTAATATGTAAATAGTGTTAGACAACACTAATTCAAATCGTCAAGATTTTTGCAAATTTAACCAACGTAAAAACATTTTTATCAGGTGAGAATTTGAGGATATATTTAGTAATGTTAGTACTAACTTTTGATGCCAAAAAATTACAAAAATAAGGTTTCACCTATATTTTTTTAAATAATTTCTGGAGATTCGTGACGTAGACACTTTAATTGCTTGCTATTGGCTATGTATGAGTCACGAGTGTATGTTTACATCGAACAATATAGTAAAATAGGAAGTATAATGCAGCAATTTGATCGACAATCTCTTATTGCTGTGTCATGTTCCGAACAAATGTCGTTCATATAAACGTTTACCTGCGAGAAAAGTAGTCATCCAGTTCTCAACACAACACTGTAGCAAGTTTGACCTCTCCCGGGTCCGGTATTGTCAACGTATACAGGGGCGGCGCCACGGTTTTCGAAGTGGAGGGGCCCAATTGAGAGAAGAAAGCGACCATGCCGGGGCCTGAGTTATTCGGGCGCGCGAAGCGCTCGAGCGAGGGAGCCAGGCGTACCGAGCGGGGTATGGTGGAGGAGGGGATCCCCTCCCACGGCAGGGACTTTTTCAATTTTGCACTGAAATGGAGCGATCTGGTGCACATCGAAGGTGAAAATTTCAAATTTTTAAATGGAAGAAAAACGGAAATAACACCCTTTCAGTACATGTCTAGTACATGTCAACTATAGTGAAGTAAATATAATTTGCATCAATATGAATACATGTAATAGGAATAAAAATATGAAATAGTGAATCTTTTCAGGGCGTACCAGAAATTTCCATTTTCTTCAACCTGGTAATAGTCAAAAAATACATTGCTGAAATATTTAAACACTTATAACATCACTCGACTAGCTTTATCTTAGTTTATCTTATGTTGCTGACAACAGTTTTGCTTTAAAAACCCAAGCTGCTAGATATTACATAAAGAATACAGCAACTATTTATTAATTAAAAAGACTTAAGAACTAAAGGCAAACCTAAAACTAAAAGAAAAAGGAACTATATAAAATATATACATAAAATAACGCTCTAGGGGCTAATGTCCCCCCCGTTACTGCCGAACGTACTGGTGCGGTCCGTATCCGGCTCTGCGTTGCACGCGCAACCCTCAGTTGCGAGCACGGCAAGGGGGTCTGGGGGGCCTCCTCCCTTAAAAATTTCAAAATTAGACCCCCTCAGATGCGTTTTCTGCGCGAGCAGGGGGATCCGGATCCCTGGACCCCCCATGTACACGCCCCCTGCTCGGGCGCGAAGCGACCAGGCGATGAGAGCCAAGCGACCGCGACGGAGGGAGGGTATGGGAGTGGTGTTCATGTTCACCCTCCCGCATGATGGAGATTTTGCAATTATACACTAAAATGGAGGACCTGAATAAAATCTTGCAAATTCAAAAAAAAAAATTTTTGGTTGGGGAGGGCTCGGGGGGGGTTCGTTCGAATCCCCGAACCGCCCGGCTATGGCCTGCATATGCAAGTACGGTACTGATTTCGCACCCTCGATCGAGCCTCCGAAGCACAGGATCAGGCCCCGAAGTCCGCACGGTTATGGGGTAAATCACGGCGCTGTCATGTCTCTTGACTACGAGTAACCTAGAGAACTTCGTCAAACTTTGTAATTCCCAGTAGGCAGATAAAAGTGATAAACACTCTCTTCGCTCTTTCTCCCTTCCTCTCTCCTTATTCCCTCTTTTCTTTCTTGCATTCCTGTTCCGATCATACAAAATACATATAGCCATATATTTTCTGCAAAAAAGTGGGGCCCGGGCCCCCCCGGCCCCCTATGTGCGTGCGTGCGTGCGTGCGTGTGACGTGTGTGTGGTGTGTGCGCGCCCCCGCGAGTGTGTATTAGCTACTGTGCTTGTGTGTACATATGAGGAAACAAATTTTTTTTTTGGGGGGGGGTTGCAAAAAGAGCTGGAAAAAAAAATTTCGCTGAAGCCTAATGTATTCCTCACAGTCAGCAGAACAATTGTTCTCCCCAGGGTTGTCTCCCTTAGACTGGATCAAGCGCAACAGACAGTCTGCAATGTTTACCGGGAATCCATTTCACTGTAAACCGATACGATTGCAGTCGAAGCACCCATCTGTGTATTCTTGCACTCGCCCTTCCAGAAGATTTGTCCGAATATATACACTCAAGTGGTTTATGGTCCGTCACAAATAGAAATTCTGTCTCATACAAATACATATGAAGACGCTCACATGCCCACACAATACCTAATGCTTCTTTCTCTGTCTGAGAGTATCTCATTTCGGTATCTGTCAAACTCCTACTAATGTAGCAGATAATCCGATCTTCTCCCGAGTGTTCTTGGACAAGCACAATGTCAAGTTCTACAGGACTAGCATCAGTGATGAGCTTAGTAACAGCATTCTTGTTGAAATAACCAAGTTTATCTGTACTGGCTAGTCTGTGCTTCAACTTGTTAAATGAGTCTTCGTGTTCCTTGTTCCACACAAATGGTTCTCCCTTCATTGTCAATCGACGTAATGGCTCTGCAACTGTAGCCAAATCGGGTATAAATCTCGAACTGTAGTTTACTAATCCTAAGAAGCTTTTCACCTCTGTAGCAGATTCTGGCTGTCTCGCCTCATTAACTGCTTGAACTTTTACCTTGTCGGGGCCTATTTCCCTTGCAGAGAGCAAATGCCCCATGAATACTAGTTTTGATAAGCGAAATGTGCATTTGTCTCTATTTAACGTTAGTCCCGTTTCCTGGATCAGTTTCAAAAGATTCTCCAGTCTCCTGTCATGCTCCTCCCCAGACGATCTGTGCACTATTATGTCATCAAATATGTTTCTAACCCCTTCACAACTCTGGAGGGTTTGTTGTATCACACGTTGGTACATCTCGGGAGCACAGGAAATTCCGAACATGAGACGCTTGTAATGATAAAGTCCTTTATGCGTGACAAATGTTGTGATAGGATGTGACGACACTTGAAATTTCAATCGGATGAAACGCCCACTTTATTTCCAGTTTATTGAAAACGGTACAGGATTTCCTCTACAGTAGGAATTCGATGTTTCTCCCTGATAATCGCAGCATTAGCTCTCCTCATATCAACACACAGTCTGATATCCTTGTCCCCTTTAGGAACAACAACTACAGGAGACGACACCCATGGGGTAGGACCTTCAGCCTTCTCTATAACATCAAGATCCTCCAACTTGAAGTTTTGTCTCAACTTTATCTCTCAAGCTAAATGGGATTCTGCGCATTGGCTGAGCTACTGGCTGTACTGTACTGTCAAAAGGAATCTCTGCTTGATAATCTTTCAACTTGCCTAGACCCTCAAAACATGCTTGATATTTATCAAACAGCTCGGTGTCATCTTGTACTGTGTTTACAAAAGATGCATCAATGCCAAGTTTAAGCACACCCAGATCGACAGCAGTTTTCCTTCCCAGTAATGCTTAACCTTTCTCTTTAACAACAACAACCTCTCATTGGACTCGGCTGTTGTCTGATGTGAAGCATCCAAGCACTTGCATTGGTGTAGCACTCCCGTATGCAAACAATTGTTTGTCCACTTTCCGTGATGTACATTTGACATGGTTTTGTTTTAGCTCACTCCATAATGTCTCGTCAATCACATTACAGCTAGAACCAGAGTCAATAATCATCGGAATATTCGCTACTCCGCCCACATCAACATGTACAGAAGTTTGTTTGCCATCGTCCCATAGTGAAAAAGCATATTCGCTGTTACCGTGTGCAACATGATCACGTGATTCCTCCAGCATACATACTTTCTCCTTAGGCTTAGGTGATTTCCATCTACCTTTGTTCTCAGCACGACGTTGTGTAGACTTCACGTCTTTGCTCTTGCAGCATTTACTTAAATGTCCAATCTTGTGACACTTGTAGCACTCCTTGTCTCTCGCAGGACAGTTGGGGGAATTCTGATGGTGTGTCGCCGATCCACAACGAAAACAATTTCTGTTTCCGGACGATCTGTCAGAGTCATACTGATGTTTGTCAACATCAGGGTGACGCTCAAATCGGGCACTCGATTTCTGCTTGACAAACGAAATGTTGTCTCGTTCTCTACCATACGTACTGTCCTCAATGCTCGATGATTGCACCTCGCTTGTT